AGAGTTAATCACATCTTGGAAATGCATTAGGTATGCACCTGTCCACTCACTCCCTCTGGAAACAGAAACCCCAAAGACACTGATTAAGGAATTCATGGATCGGATTACAAAAGCTAAAACGATTTTCGTATTACAATAATTTCTCTCTGTACCTGCTAAAAGCAAGCTTGGCTTCAAACGGAGTTATGACAGGGGCCATGAACTCTTTGCTATCTAAAAGAGCGGTTTGGGCGCATGAGATGTAAATGAAAACATCGCACTAAAAAATACAGAAGACAAAAGGACATTACTCATTTGACATATCTCACTCTACTCTGACACTTAAAGCTAAATGATTCATGCAAGCCAGTGTTTTAACTTACCTCAGGGAAGTTTGCGAGTTTGGCTGGGTTAGGCCGTCCCATTGCAAGAGTGTAAGATTTTTTTCCAGCTGCGGATATGAGAGCTTGCATATGGTGAATCATGTGCAGGTAACCAGCTGTATTTCAACAGCAACTATAAATATCAATGAACTTATCAATTTTGATATCAAGTTGGCAGAAATTCAGTTGATAAGGAGCTTACCTACACCAAGAGTCCCCACCAAAATACCTATAATATTCGCATCCTTAGCTTTCTCCACCAAGTAATATCTGAAACACACATCAATTTAAATGGAGAGCGGATGTAATTCCATTAAGATAACTCGATACATTGTGATGTATGAGTTCAGCTTGAAACAAGTGATTATACCGTCGTTTAAGTATCCTTCTCTGTTGAGTAAATTCCGTCACCAAAGAGTCTTCCTCAGCATCATATCTGACTAAGATCAACAAACCAAACATACCAATGAAAATGTTAGTGGCACAACCTATTCATGAAAAACAACAAACAGTAGAAATTTATCCAACACTTGACATCAGCAGGAACTAGATCAAGAAATTTCCATGGATAAAGCCATATACCTACGTCACAACCATTGAAGGTCAGTACTACATTGGCGAAAGCTGAATTGTCGGAACCAATCCAGAAAAGTAAATAGTCTTCAATTTTGTTTCCTTCAGGTAAGTCCCAAGTTAGCCCTCCTAATCTATAGTTTCCACTAGACGGGGACAAGCTATCATTCGAACCACTTTTGCCAGATGGTCCTGGATGTTCCATGGATTCCCTAGGATCTTTGGTCGGACTAATGAATGAACACAAGACATCAGCTACGGAGAACTTCAAGTGAGATTCAGCCTTTGATAATCCTAATTCTTCCATCAATTCTTCTCGAATACATGGAATCACATGAGCATAGTCGAGTCCATAAAGAACCTGCAACCAAAGCAAAAGAAGATTAAAAACCACAGAACTCGTTTATCACTCTTTCATCATAAACTTAAACTAGCTTCGCATACCATAACTGGCTTATCGCTTTTAGCCACATGATCTAACAAATGCTTTACACAGCTGGAAACGTTTATTGAAGCTTTCCCGAAAACAAAGAATGCTGGAAGAACCGATGTCCTGCGAAAACATAAATCCACACAATAAGACATTTTTTCAACACACAGCAACTAGACAAATCAAGAAGACGGTTTTAATGATAAAACTCACGGGCTTAGACATGTTTGTCCGTAATGGACAACACATTGAGAATCAATATGCAAAGCTCCAACTTCATCAATGCAGCAACTACCATAAGTTGTGTCAGCCATAACAAAGAACCTAACTTCTCTATCATCTTCACCTCTTTCACTATTCCTCTCTTTCATAAGCAAACGAGTTTTGCTCTTGAGAGCACTCACGACCTTAGTCGAATCCTTTAACAACTCATCCGGGAACTATCACAGAAAACAGAGACAAATACAAGAAAAAACCTAAACTTTATCATCCCTTGTTCACTTAATTAACAATTTTGGCTACTAAAAATCAAAATCAAGTGCGAAAGAAACTTAATTCAGAAACTGGGGAAAAGTTTTGGTACCTGTAAAGCAATTCTGGTGAAGGTTTTGCTGATTATGAACTCTGCCGTTCGATTAATCTCATACCTTGATTCAAATTCCATCGAATCACTAAAAATCGTATCCGAGTTCGTTGTTTAATCGGAGGAGACGAACAAAAAAACGGAGGCTGAGTGGCGGCTGAAGAAACAAATTCGATGATGAATGAACGGTGCCGTTTCGGTACCAAATAAATTAAATTTTGGTCAGTTTCGGTTGATTTTTTTTTATTATTCAAAATTTGGAAATTTTGTACAAAATTAGAAGCAACATTGGTTTAGTTCGGTTTTCTCAAATATCGGTTCAATTTAGAATTTAACTTTGATTCTATGTAATTTTCCATAATGGTGATATCTTCATCTTTTTCGATAATTACCATAAATCCATCATGATACATTCAGATAATCCTTGAATTTGGTGAACATCTATACTGTTTTTCCAGTCTTATACAACAAATTTCTTATCTTAATGTTGTGAATTTGTGTACATAACGTCATTATCTCATAGGTAATTTGTAGGAACTCAAATTATTACAAGTGGGCAAACTGATATTTGTAAAATGAAATACATAAATAAATCGATATTCTAATAAAAATATCAATAGAGGAATTAAGATAAGAACGATTATGCAGAGACGAGATAATCTCTATCTTTAATTCTGAAAACGTCTCGTAGTGTGACGGTTGTGTGACGTTCCCAATCCCATGATACAACCACAATCAACTCTGTTTTGTACAGCTCAAGAACAGAATCACACGAATGCTAGAATCTCTGGTATACTCTTAGACACAAAATAAAATAAAATAAAGAGTTAATTACTAGAATGACTTTGGAAAGTAGGGTAATTACTAGAATGACTTTGTCAAATCTAGTAACTTGACATAACTCGATAAAAGACAAATAAACTTTAATAATCTATCTTATTTACGCAACTGCCGTTCTGAAACCTAAAACAAACATGTGAGAGAGTTTTTTGTTGTTGTTATTGGAATGAATGATCGTGATCATGTATCATTCAATGTATCGAAGAAAGGATAATGGCTTTGACTATATAGCCACAAAGCTCAACGTAAGCAACAAATGCTCAATGTATGCAATAAAGGGAGGTTGAGAATTCATTCTCATAATAACGTGAATAAGTGCTTATGTTACAAATCAATTTTGATTTTGTACTTTAATTGCCACTTGACTCACATTATCAATATTAATTTGAGAAGATATTTTATTGACTTTATCAATAATAAAATTCAAAAAGAATTTAGCCCAAAAAATTAATCTTTTGATTTGTTGGCCTAAATCTTCTCTCTAATACGTGTATTTAAAGTATTAAGCCTTGTTAAGAGTTCTCCACTTTATATATTAGGATCTTATATCCAAATGTCCAATATGGGATGTTTACTAGTTTTTACACTTGGCTAATTTTGAAGCTTTATAATTTGATAATTTTTAAAATTTTATAATTTTGTTGCTAGTTTTTACACTTAACTAATTTTGAAACTTTATAAGCTTTCAAATCATCTATTTTGGACCTCAATTTCTTATTCAAATCAACTTCGTTTCGACAAATGAGTACACTATATTATAGTGTTTACGGCGACGATTCTATCGTACCTTAAATCTGGTCATTCCGATGAACTTCTCCACCGGAAATCTTAAGAATTTGAAATTAAATTGATGTGAGTTGACAGCTCACAATTTGAAAGCTGTAAACCATTTTGAAAATGTGGAGAGGAGAGAGAGATAGGGGTCATTTTTTTTGTCATTATACTGAATGAAGAGAGCTAATGGGAAATGGACAGTTGTTAACTCTCTTTCACCGTTTCACTATATATATACACCCATAAACCCATCAGCCACTTTCTTTAGACTCTCCTTTCAACAGTAGACCTAAAACCCTAGGTGATCATGTTTATCTTTATTAGCTTAAAAATGTCTTCTTTATAGTGGAACTTGATGTACGTGATAAAACGAAAGATGGGATCAAATTCGATGATAGTGTCTTTCCACACACCATCGTGAGAACCATCTTCGAAACGTCCTTTTTGACGTCGACTAGAGTGAAGTCCACCTCCCACAAGACTGAAAGGACCTTGGACAAAAGACATGCTATCCTGAAATATCAAAGTAGTAGTTTATGAATGTAGACAAGCTTGTATCATGAAATATAAACATCCACACAAATTTCTTGAGCTCTAAACAGTGTAGTGTATGAAACACAGACACAAAATACAATTTTTATCCAGTAAGAACAAACGTTAGATAAAAAAAAAAACCAAACTTTAGACCAAAGGACCATTAGGCAAAAACGATTGCAATGATAGACAATATATGAAACACATTCAAATTTCTTGAGCTCTAAACAGTATATGAAACACATATACAAACTTTATCCAGTAAGAACAAACTTTTGACCAAAAAAACCAAACTTTAGACCAAAGGACCATCAGACAAAAACGATAAATTTGTTCTAAAGTTTGTTCTTACTGGATAAAGTTTGTATCTGTGTTTCATATACTGTTTAGAGCTCAAGAAATTTGTTTGTGTTTCATATATTGTCTATCATTACAATCATTTTTAAGTGTTATATTAAACTTTTGTTAACACAAGAAAAGTCAAATGGTTATCTATCATTCATAGTTATATATACATAGAAAATGTTTAATTATAATAGTTTCGTCTCTCTACATAAATACAATACGTTTGAACTTATTATGCATTTTCGACGGTTTGAGATAGTACTAGTTCAACCTATCTTATGTATGCTTTGAGATAGTACAAATTAGTATATTGTCATAGTCAACTAATTTGTGTTGGACATTGCAAATCATGAACATTTAACGTCTATGATGAAGATGGTTTAGTCTACTCATTAATCTTAAGAACTTCGGCAAGAAGACAATCTCAAAATTTTGAAAAAGCGCCTAATATCAAATTTGTCTTCAAGAAAGTTGGGTTTTAATTTGTAAGGAAGTACCCTTCGCCTATCACTAATTCCACCGGCCGAGAAACTAGAACTTGATGACATAATGGGAAATCATGAGATTTGGTATTATGGGGTTCATGACTATCTTAATTGGGTGAAATGATCATATAACGACTTCGGTGTTTTGGGTATCCAGTTTGGTTAACTCAACAATTGTGTCTGAGGTATCCAATTTGATTACATAAACAATCGGATAGTTAAAATCGGAGAAAAACACGGTATCTTTCCAAGACTGTGACAAACGACTTCTCTGCAGGTCTCTCTCTAGTCAAATTAATTGCATATGCCGTACACGATGGGATCATACCGTTCGAGTTCAAGCTGGAACATCACATACTATTGATAAATTTGGTGTTTATCTCAGACCTATCACTTAATTAAGCTTTTTATGTTTTCCTTAGTAGAATAATAAAGAGCAAAAACTAGATCATGCTTACACTGTCTCTTTAGCTACTTTCTTATGTTATTTTCTCTTCATGGTTGTTGTTTCTACTATGCTTCTAGTATTAATTCTCCTCCACTATATTTGATGGCTTTTACGTTTCTAAATAAATGTAGTACGTTCAAATTTACTAGTTTAGTACCCGCGCATACGTGCGGAGTTTATCATAAATTTATTTTGCTTTGTAGTTTTGATTGTTTACATAAGCATTGGTAATATGATGCGCGAATAAA